TTAAATAAATTTTTTTGTGAATTCTGAAACTAAATTTCAAATTTTCACAGTTTTTACCTTTACCTAGATTATTATTTTACTAAATAAAAGAAAAAAAATATGTGAAATATTAATATGAATATTAAAAGCGCTCGAAAAAACCAGTAAAATAAAAAAAATTATGAGCGACCCTTCAAAATTCAAATTTTGAGCTGAAACTTCCAGAAACTTATTATCTTTTTGTCTATGAAATTATACCGTAACTAGAAAAAAATGCAGTTTTTTGCGATTTTTGAAATCTTAAAAAAATTAGAGCGACATCATAAAAATTTTGTTTTGAGCTGTCCTTTGAAGGGGGTTCTTAAAACATTGAAAACTAACATTTCTTTACTCGAGAGTGAAAAAAAAATAATCGGCTTCTTGCGCCACCGTAACAGGTACATATATTTTAATTACATGTTATAACTACCAAATTGAGATGTGTAGTTTGTTTAATATACATATACCACGAAAATGTTGCCGAAATTAACATGTAAGTAACGTGCATTACCGACATAGTGACACACTTTATTACTTTGGCTGACGTATAACGATCATATATTCGGAGAGAAATAATGACACAGCTTAGACATTATCTACTAAGCTTTATATTGACTACAATATTGATTGTACCTACCTAGAATGATTATGTAAGAGTGTTTAATAAAAAATTTTATTTTGTTCCAGGTGGGAGACGAAATTCTAGCTGTAAATTTAGTAGACGTAACTAGAATGAGCCTGGACGATGTAGTTATAATAATGTCAATACCGAGAAGATTGGTCCTTGCAACGAGACAGAGAAAGGGCAGTAAGGGAGGACAGGGTTCGCCCAGTGTACAACCGCGATCCGAACACAAACAACCACCTGTCGTCGTCATAAAACGGGACATACGGGAAGAGGATCAGGACGATGGTGATTTAAGTCAAAGCAGGTAAACACACACACTGTACCTAACCATGCATCTACATCTACCCATATTCGCCCATAAACATGTAATTTACCATTACCTAATTGACGTCTGATAGGTATTTATTACCAGCAATGGTTCGTAACACCTTATTCGTGTATAATCTAATAACACAATAAACATACTGTGTCTACACAGTCAATTGTTGAAAACTAATTGTAGTTTCTCCCAGTTACTCTATCTCGTATTAATAAATTATCATAATCTTCTCTATAAATTAAATATTGATTAGAGTGACAATTATTTCGCCAAACATTTGCTTCTTCAAATTAGATAAAAAGCGGCACATGAGTGTTGTTTGGGGTGAGTCCTGTTTTAGAAAAGCGAAAGAGAGAATATAATTCGATTATTCGCGCAGATAGATTACATACTGTCTAGAGCAACTGTCTTCATACTGCTACAAAACTCCCCGCGCGTCATACTTTTAGAGCCTTTTCACACGTGCTATATTTTGTAGCACTTCCGTTGCTAGTTCCGCGTTAAGAGCGATTTTTTGCAGCCTTTCGATATTGTAGGCGATGTATACTTCGTTTACTTTCTGTAGCGATGTGACCTTCAGTTTGACCGGCGCAAAGTAGAAAAGAACAGCACTAGGCAAGAAAAGGAAGGAGACAACTCTCGCCCAAACTCATAACCGATGAGGAGCGTATAATCCGTATAGTACTGCATGAAAAAATTGACCATTTTATCCACTACAATTGCATTGCTGTTATTGGTACCATTTACTACTGAAAATATCAACGAGATGTTTATTTATATTTGAAGACATATTAAAGACTTTAACGCTTGTTTTCGACTAGCACTAGTATTCATGATTGAACAAAACTTTTGGCAGGTACTGTATGAAAAAGTATGTTTAATGAACAAGAGTCGAGAGTATAATGAGCTTTTTTTCTCCCTATCTACGATTTTGCCAGCGCGCATCCAAGACATTGGAAGGGGCACATCGCTAGAGAAAGTAAATGAAGTATAGTAACGTATCTACTTCAAATTTAAAGAAACAGTTATTAAAATAAAGTCGCAGAAGAAAGGCGAAGATGAACTTACTTTATTAGCGCTTCTGATAAATTAAAAAAAAAAAAGTGGAATATAAAAAATCGGAAATATTGAGTCGATCCTTACAACAGCAATCGATTGATAAAAGATTTTTTATACATTTTTCCAAGATTTATGTCGAAATGAAAAAGGTTTTTCAGTCATTCCTTCTCCTTCTTCCCATGCTCTTCCTTATACAGTCTGCACTGCAGTTATTCGACATTGTGCATCATCGATCTATCGCACTACTAAAAATAATCCAGTGTTAACTTAAGTAAATGTATTTCTTAGTGAAGCGCAACAATTGCATAACTATTTAGCCACGCGATTCAAGCGAATGTCGCTACAGTTCAGCGACTGTAGTGCTACGTTTTTGAAGCGCTACTGTCATGTGAAAGCATCAAAAATCACCGGAATTCAAAAAATCGCGCAACTGTAGCGCTACAAAAAGTAGCCCCTGTGAAAAGGCTCTTATCGTGGTGTAACGCGTCTTTTTTTTCCACAGTTACATGTTCATTAATTAAACAGTTTCTTTCTGGTTAGTTATGAACTATCATTATTTAAATTAAGGGTAGTGGTAATTTTCAATTACAACAGCACCTCTATTGTTAATGGGACACGTATCCGATTAGTAAAGTTAAAGTATGTCTGTAGTTTCATTTGTTTGATTGCTGTTGTCACTTCACTGTACCGATTTCTGTGAAAATATTTCAATAATGTTCTGCAAATGTTAAAAATTTTATTTTTATTCTCTTCTTATCTCAAATAGTTACCATAAGCTGATCATTTTTATTGTTTGGAAAACCATTTTTATGTTCTTTAAAACGTATTTCGAAATTTCTTTCTACGTATCCACTTAAACTTGAACTTGTATTAGCTTAATATAATTAACACATTTTTGAAATTATACTTTGGGTGTACAAGCTTTTGTATAAACATTTTATATGCTACCGTTATGTACATTTTTACAGTTTACAGCTTTTAAAGACGCTTTATTTTTATTTGATAGTAAACTTTTTAGTTACTTTGTTTTGTTTTAGTTATACGTTTATATAGCGGGTTACACAACAATAAAAAAAAATGCGCAATTAATATTTCCACTAATTAAAATAACCACAACATTATTTTTTGATTTTGTATTTTTCTATTATTGTTTGCAACATAATTTTGTATTGTACATTTTAGAATTACACATTTTTTACAAATGCTTTATTTTTTTATTTTTTATTGTCTTTTTGCTTTAATATAACATCACGCCTTGTCTATCTTTTTGTTAAATTTTGATACATTGTGCTTCTCTAAAAAACTGTAATAATAGTTTTAGTTTCTACATTCATTTTCCGGAAAACACCATTATCAGTTTTAATAAAGGAAATGTTCGGTCAATTTTTATTTTATTTTTTATTGGAATAAGTATTACATCAGTAACTAAAAAAAAAATATATAGAAGAGAGATAGAACATACAACACATTTAGTACTAAAGACAGCAAGAATGCCATACTATTTATTTGGTTCTTTAAAACTTTTTTTTATTGTAAAACCAACCATCAATATTTCTCCGTGGATGTAAGGCTTTCCCAAAGTATATTTTGTTGTTTTGTTACCATGATAAGTCTTACATCCAAGGCGAAACGTTACTGGTTAGTTTTACAATGAACAGAACCTTTGTACAATATCTAGTTTTCTACTTACACTTCATTAGAAAAAACGAATATATAAGGCTTCCGTTTTTCATTCGTACATAGGGAACCCTAACCCGAAAATCAATTTAACTTAACAAAGATTTACCACGTTATGTTTAGACCATAGACATCTTATTAATCTACAAGTAAACAACTATTTTTTGTATTTTTTTTTTAAATTTCATCAATTTTCTTAAATAACTTTAAAACTATTTATTTTAAAATTATAAAAAAAATATATTTGAGACCCTTACAACAAGCCCTTTCATTTGATATATCACGCGGTACAATTTGAAAAACTTTTTTCTAATTTCCTATTGCCCCCTAAAAGTGACCCCCATGTTTTTCGTTCGGATAGAAATGGAACCTAAACTAACAATTTATGAAGGATTAGCAGAAATTCGTAATGAATGAATGAACATAATCGCCTAAACTGGCTTGTGGATAAAGATATTGTTAGTTCAACAATTTTTTCTTAAAATTTATGTAATTATTATGCAAACCATGTTGCTGTAACAACCAACGGATTTCTTTTACAAAATAAGCATCCAGGTAATTTACTTTCAACTTAGAATCCCAGTTATAATTTTTGCTTTCTTGTAAAAAGTCTTTGGATACGTAACGCGTAACGAAAGATAAATCGGTATCTAAACGATATTCAGATTTAATAGTAGAAACTTTTAATTACTAAATTGATCAAATACCCACGATATAAATTTGAATAATTTTACTACACACCATGGACATGAGAACAGAAGATTATTTCTTATATCTTTCGCCTTATATCATCTAACACCGATATGTAAATAAAAAAGTGCATCAACATTGCGTTCATAGTTAATCATTCATCATTATAAGGCGGCCAGTCCTAAGACTGGTTGGACACGCACTTCCACACTTTTCTATCCTGAGCTAATCTTTGCATTTCCCTAAAACTAGAATATCCCACATCCTTAACTATTTGCGAGCAGTAATCTAGTCTATGTCTACCTCTTCCCCTCCTAACTCCCGTTTCTGCCTCTAATATGTCTTTGACCAGACCTTCATGCCTGAAAAGGAGTCCTTCCAACCTATCTCGCCTATTTCTTATTGACTTCCATAATGACCTCTGTTCTCCTATTCTTTCTAATATTTCTTCATTTCTAACCTTCCCTATTCACAGTATCCTCATCATTCGTCAACACCACATTTCGAACGCTTCGAACCTTTTCTTTTCCGTCGCGCCCACCGTCCATTTTTCACATCCATACAGAGCCGCGCTCCAAACATACAATTAACAACATTTTTACCAATTTCTAATTAAACCGTTTGTGAACATAGAAGTGACTTCTTTTTATTGAAGGCGACTCGACCCTGCTACTTTTCCGTCCTGACTTATTTGACTTCCTAGATACCTACCTAAAATCAGCCACTTCTTCTAATTATTCGTATCCTATCTTTATATTCGCTCTTTCCCTACTTTTTCTTCCTTTGTATACCAGTATTTTTGTTTTACCTTTATTTATTTTCATACAGTACTGTTTTGTCAGTACCGCTTCCATTTTATTTAAAGCTATCTCTAACTCCTTGCTAGATGCTAATACTGCTATATCATCTGCAAATCTAAGCATACTATTCTTTTGCTCCTTTATATCTATCCCTATAGTTGTACTGTCTTTAATGATGTTGATCGCGTCTTCGATATATACATTAAAAAGTAGGGGTGACCGTGTGCTTCACCACTGTCTGACTCCCTTCCTAATGTTTACATTTATACGTTGCTACATTAAAATGACCAAGTTTAGAAATGGGAAAAACAGAAAGAAGAAGTAGATATGTCCCAAATTTAGGAAGCCTTACCACCATTTTAATCACACTCATTTCATTTTTCACCAATTTCCAAAGCATTTTTTTTACATTATAGATTCCGATTTATTTCATACTTTATTCATTAAATTATCGCTTCTAAATAATAATATTTTATGGAATTCTCCAGGTAATTTTTCGAACTTTTTTATTAATGTGTGTACAAACGGCCAACCAAAAAACTGAGCGATCCAGACTTTTCTGAAGTTTTTAAATGAAACCAAGCAATCGGTATGTTGTTTACCCGAATAATATTTACTACTACTCTGTAGCGGTAGCATCCAGTAAACTACGTATTATCGGAATTAAAAGTTAATTCTCCAAGGGAACTCCGTTAAAGTTCATAGACCTATGCGACGAGATTGTAATCGAGTAATTAAAGTTTTGAATTGAATATGGAA